TTATTTTGCTGCTCTTTTCTTGCATGCGCCTGCATGCATGCAGCAGCATCAGACGCAGCAGCAGCAACAGCCACAGCAGCAGAAGCAGCAGCAGCAGCAGCAAATTAGCTTTGCTGCTGCTGCTGCTAAGAGAAACATCTTGGGGCTTTTTTATTTTAATTAAACTTTTTGCATGCACGGACATAATCATAAACCCTAAACCCTAGCTAAACCCTAAACCCTAGCTAAACCCTAAACCCTAGCCAAACCCTAAACCCTAGCTAAGCCCTAAACCCTAGCTAAACCCTTAATATAATTATCTATAGATAATAAACCCTCAAGACAATCTCCTGCTGCTGCTAAACCCTCACAGTATTAATCTGCTGCTGCTAGTAAACCCTAGCTAGGGTTTAGGGTTTAGCAGCAGCAGTAGATTAATAAACCCTTATAGTGCTGGAGGGGTTTGCTGTGCTGCTGCTGCAGCAAGGGGTTTAATCTGCTGCTGCTGCTGTTGCTGCTGCAGCAGGCAGAAGTTGGTGCTGCAGCAATAAGTGTCGATACTACCAGCAGCAAATTGCAGCAGCAGATGCAGCAGCAGACGCAGCAGCAAATGCAGCAACTTAATGCGCAAACTATAAGGGGCAGCTAAATGTTTGCTGCTACAGCAACTTGCTGCTGCTGCTGCTGCTGCTGCTGCAGTGTACGCAGCAACAGGCAGCAGCAGCAAGAAGTAGCAAGCAGCAGGAAGCAGCAGCAGCAGAGGGTATAAGAGGATTTATAAACAAACACAACATTAAATATATAGTAAGACAAAGACAGACAAATTTATTGGCGAAGAATAGCAGCAGCAAGAACTCTAAACCCTAAACCCTAAACCCTAAACCCTAAACCCTAGTAAACCCTAAACCCTAAACCCTCGATAGGTTCAAGTTGTCGTGGGAAGTTATAGCCAATCATAAAAGGCCTTAATAAAACCCTCGTGCCTGTATTAACGACAAGAACTATTAACCCTAAACCCTAAACCCTAAACCCTAAACCCTCGTAACTAGCGACGGAGACGCGGAGGGAGCGCTAGGGTGTTTATATATTAATTGTTGTCTTTTTTGTTCTTTTTTGTCTCTTTTTGTTGATTTATTGTATTAAAAGGAATAATAAATAAATAAATAAATAAAAGACAGGGGGAAAAGAAGAAAAAAGGAGAAGAAGTCCCTTAGAAGAAAGAAGGAACGAGCAGCAAACGGTCGCGAGTGTTTTTGTGGTGTACGGGCACCTCCTTAATAAATAAATAAATAAATATAATTATATTTAATTTAATTTAATTAAATAAATTAAATTAAATAAATATAAATATATATTTATTAATTAATTAATCAATTAAGAAGAAATAAATACAGTAAAAGATATAAACAGAGAGCGGTGGTGCTCTCTCCTAGGGTTTAGGGTTTAGGGTTTAGGGTTTAGGGTTTAGGGTTTATATATAGGTGGTGTTTCTTCATCCTAGGTCATTTTTTTCTGGTAAAAAGGGTAAAATAACCCTTTTTTATGTTATTAATTGTAAACAAATGAATTAAATAATAAATATACATAAAAAAGTAGGGAAAAAAGGGAGAAAAAGGAAGAAAAAGAAGAAAAATCGAGCTATGAATCGCCGTCCTTAGTAGCCAACCGCCAGCCAGAGAGGGTGAGTGAGTGCGCCACGGTCGCAGGAAGGAACGAAGGGAGGAGGGGGTATTTTTTGCTGCTTTTGCTGTATAAATAGATATTTTTAATTGTATTTATATATATTTATGTAAAATAATGTCATTAAAAGTATATTTACGGCAAAAAACGGATAAAAATGAGATAATTTAGTCATAAAACAGCAGCAGCAGCAGACCCCACTGCAACAGCAGCGGTACGAGTGTCTGCGGTGTATGTACATGTCTATTGCATGCATTTCTTCTTTTATTCCCTTTTTATTTAATGACAGTAATTAATAAACAATAATTTAATTAATTAATAATAAATAAAGGGTAATTACCTTCTTATTTTGCTGCTTTTGCTGCTGTCGATGCCGTTGACGCTGCTGTCGCTGTCGCTGCTGCTGCTGCTGTCCCAGAGGCGTGTCGCCACGCCTGCAGCAGCAGCAGCAGCAGCAGCAGCAGCAGCGGCCTCTTCTTCTCCTCTGTAGTAGTTGCTGCCTCCTGGGGGGTAGATTGTTTAGTGTGTCTCTCCTCTATTGTTATGTTTATTTGCTTCTTTTTCTTTTATTTATTTATTTATGTTATTATTTATCTCTTGTCCTTTTCTTGTCTGCTTATTCCTCCTTATAACCCCTTATTGCGGTGTATGTACACCAGGACGCCAACCTCCTCCAGCTCCCGCCGCGCCCGCTGCTGCTGCTGCTGCTGCTGCTGCTGCAGCTGCTGCAGCAGCAATTACCATTTAATGCTTCTTCTCTTATTTCTTCCCTTGGCCTCTTGTCTCTTTGTCTCCTTTGCTACTCCTGTTTCAGCTGCTTTCTTAACAACAGCAGCAGCAG